AAATAAACCGGGATTAAAGTTAATTTACATTGGTAGAAATGGATCTAATGTTTATTTCTATTAACGTAATCGATTTTAAACACGGTTCAACTTACTCTCCATCTTTTTCTAATTCTTAAAACTAGAAAAAGATGAAGAATAAATTAAATCAAGGTTAAATTTAATCTACATTGATAGAAACGGGTGTACGTGACTTTTCGTTTCGTTGTTGCATCCGAGCCTCGAGCGTGGCCTGAACTATATTTGTCATCGATTAACGCAGTCATCGTCACGCGAGTTATATTTAACTCGCGTGCACCAGGCAGCGTCCGCGATCGGATTGCTCCGGGCAACAATTCGAGCTGTCCCGATGGTTCCGACTCAATAACCGCTTTTCCCTTTGTCGTATTTCGACTCGATCCCCGGCAAAACTCTCGAAAGTCAGTCATTATGATTGTCCGGGGACAATGAGGAGTCGGCCGGCCTACAGTTATGCGGCATTCATTTTCGATCTGGCTCTGATTTCTCCTCGACCCACGCGTCTCTCAAGTGCTGTCTGTTCATTCTCAAAGGAGTGGCGCGAAGTCGAGTCGATTCACTCGCGCATTCGCCGGTACTTTGTTATTCATCGCTGTTGTGTACCGCGAGTGGCGACCGTCACCGCGACGTCCTCGCCCACGCGCATCAGCGCAAACCTCTTCCGCGTCGCAGGTCGCTCGAAAGACACCCCGCGGTTTATCGTTGCAATCTAGCCACCGCGTCATTTCTACCGTTGTATCGTCATACTTAAGGTACTTTGAGGTTTTTTATTTTTTGGCTCAGTTGCGGTTAGACTGAACCAAGTGGCAATGTAAAAATTGTATGATTTGATTATAACTTTCCGAAACTTAGATAATTTTTAATCCATTGCGATGTCTAAACTGTTTCTCGTAAATAAACGAAATATATCAAGTAAATATATTATCAAGTATTATAGCGTTTTCAATCTCATCGACTGATTTAGTATGCGAATTAAGGAATTTTTATTACTTGGAGGAATTTATGCAGATCCTAAAAATATAATTTGCCGATTATAATCGCAAATACGATAGATTACCGTAACGCGTACGTTGAGTCAAATTCATAAGACCGCAAAGGGTCCTATAAATACTTTGTCTAATTCACGATTGTGCCGTATATTTTAATTAAGATTACACAGAATTTTTACGTAATGTAACGTATTGCAACGTTAAATTTATCTGAATCTTTTTTATATAAATTAGGCAATACAAACACAATGTAAAACATGTAAATTATTATGAATAGGATAACACAATGCAAAAAGAAATTTTTTAGTACGCGAAAATATATTCGAACCGTGTCTCAACTTGAACTGAGATGACCGTCGCGGAAACGTCGCTGTAAGATACAGCGTGACCCCGACCGACGATATACATCTCGCGTAAATATCTGCTGCAGTCGTGTATCTCCGTTAACACGCGGATCGTGAATCGCGTACCGGTTATCGGTCTCTCCCGGAGCTGCGCCTTCGCGCCGCTCCAAAGCGAGTGAACTTTCCCAGCGGAGAGAACAGAGAGGGAAACGCCGAACTGTCGATGCCGCCGCGCCGACATCACGGTCTCGGTATCAGCGACCAACGGTTCCATTTTTAGCGGCTGAATTAGAAAGTGCGAGGACAGAGAACCTATATTTACGATGTATACCGACTAAGCTGTGCAAGATCAAATCGCTGGTCGTTGTCGCGAACCAACGTTAGATTCTAGGCGAAGTAATTTCACTTCCAGGAAATTTTTATTCGGAACTTAATCGACCGTCGCGTGAATTGTTAGACAAAGACCGATTGTCGACTGTCACGCTTAATCTTCCGGAGCTGACGCCAAAATCTGCACACAGTTAATGACGTTATACTCTAAAAAATATAGGTGTAGATTTAACACCCAATTCTCGTCGTGTCAAAACACTAACATGAATTTAACACCATGAGTTTTAAATCGTGATGTTAAATCCACACCAGGTTAAAATATAAGTGTGGACAACCATGCGGTGTATACATAATTCTTATCGTGTTGATATTAACATCAACATAGTGTTAACATAAATTTTAAACCATATGTTAAATCCACATTATGTCAGTGTATTAACATGATAAAAATTACATAAACATCGCATGATTTTACATCCCATCTTTTTTACAATGTGAGTCTGTGAAACCTATTTGTGTTAATTAAAAGGCACTAATTAATTTCAAGGAACCAGAATGACAATTCGTATAAAAAAGAATTGATATATTTAATAATAAATATATTTTAATAATAATCAAAAATTTTCATGTAACATGAAGAAAATTGAATTGTTTGTTAGAGATTTATAATTGAGTGGTTTCAATGGATCGTTAATAACTCCGAAGGGTTAAACATTCGTCAGTACCGTGTTCGATCCGAATTCTACGAGGGCTCGGCCCGTCCGATTATTCCGGAGCGTACACGTGTCCAAAACACGCAGTAGAGAACTTACCAGGGAAGCTTCGAGAAGCTGCCATTGTTATGCCGAAGCGGTGGGGAGGGGGAGAGGTAGAAACGAAAGGGGGAATTATTCCCATCTTCATTTAGCCTCCGGCTAAATCGATTGCGCGTACGTTTCCCATCTCCGCTGGGCACAAAAGTTCGGTCCTCCTCTGTAATCGTGGCACCCCTGTGGAATCCTGGGATTTCCCCCTCTCCCTTCTGTGTTTTATTACACAGGGGAAGTACCCCATGCGATATTCGAGAGCCAGAGGGAACGTTCGGCCAGAAATGATGAAACAGCAATTCTCTCAATAATATTTCTCTACCGCTTAATTATTATCTTTTTTACGATTTACCACGATATTTGAGTTTCTATTTTTGGTCGAGATAGCGCAGACCGAATTACGCGATCGGCACATAAAAACGCATTAAACGCCGGTAATTTTATGACGCGTTGGAAATAGCTTGGGATACGTCAACATCTACCAGGTGATAATTATAACGATACGCGAGCATTATTTTAAACCATCGACTAATGAGAGTATGGTTATTCATAAAAGCGATGTATCTCGATGAATGCAAAGCTCCCCTGGTTACGCAGCGCGGGACTCTTTTTCATAGCAGAGAGAGTTCCATTTATCTTTTTTTTTTTCAACGAACTTCGAACCGCGTCGACATCAAATGTCGATTGCGGCGTATACGCATTCGTGAAAGTACAAAAAGTACAATAAAGGTAGAACGTAATGTGTACAATAAGCGAAGGAAATTACTTGATGATAAATCCTCACTGCGTATATATGAAAAGAATGGCTTTTTGAAGCATGCAAACATTTAGCTAGATGTGTAAATAATTATGTCGAATTATGTCATCAAAATATGTGTACATATATTAGACACTTAAAACTTTTAGGCTTTGTGTTACATATACTTCATGTCAAAAGTTTGGAAGCTTTAAAAATTGACGTTTTTGGGATTACTTATTCAAATATCTGTAATAAAATGTATTTAAAAAAAAAATAATTCTCTCTCTCTCTTGTAAATTCCATAACGGCAATAACTATTATTGGATTTGAAGAATTATTGTTAAAAATTGTTATGAATATTTAAATAGATAAGTAATCTCAAAATATCAATTTTTAAAAAGCATTTCTAAACTTTTGGCTTGAAGTGTAATTATTTTGATGGTTCAATATAGTTATTTTCAAGATTTGTATTTAGCTAAATTTTAGATACTTTAACAAATACTTCAGATATTTCAGTAAAACCGTTCTTTCTGTGCATCATATTAATTTTTTGTATTAATACCTATTGTACATTTATTACAACATGGGTGATAGATTTAAAAACGTTATACGTTCGATGATGAAAATTATCGTTAGTGTGGTAACGAGCGGTGAACTCTCGAGAGAATGACTAACCGTCGAGCGATGGTACCATAGGCGTCGATAAGCTCGCAATAATAATAAACTACGATAACACGAAACGCGAGTCCGTCACGTGTGGTAGGCCACGATCACTTTGTCCGCAAATAAACATGCTCGTTGCGCAACCATGTCTTCAAAGATGCCCCGTTTTACGACGTACATGCATATTCACGCTGAAAAATTGCTTTACCGCTATTTTTAGATCGTGCCGTCTTTGTCTTGTCATTGGGTCAGAATCTTCGTTTATGTTAATCATGTGGAAAATAGGCGAATTAGATTAACAGTAGTTTCAAGTGTTGTCCGCACTTGTGAAATATGAGCTTATTCACGTCCGTTAATGGAAATCCATTAAATCCATTAATGGAAGTCCATACGGAAAGGACGATTTTGCTGAAACATCTGAAAATTTAGCTAGATACAAATCTGAAAATAATATTTCATTGGATCAGCAAAATAATTATGAAGGACATTAAATTGATTGCTAGAAATTGTCAATATTTTTTTGCATCATTGCTCATCATACTTGAGATTTTTACATGATTATTTTTACACCGAAAGAATGATTTTGTTAAAGTATCTAAAAATTTAGCTAGATAGAAATTTGAAAATAGTGTTATTTGATCATCAAAATAATTATGGAAAACATCAAATTGATTATTAGAACGTCAAAATTTTTTGTTCGTCATGCTTGAGTTTCCTGTATAATTATTTCGATCCAACAAAATTATTTTTAAATCTGTATCTGGTTAAAGTTTTTTTATACGAAAAGAACGATTTTGCTGAAGTATCTAAAACTTTAAGTTAGATAGAGTTTTGAAAATAATTTTGTTTGAATCATTAAAATAATTATGTAGGACTATACGACGTTCAAACTGATGGAATAATGCTTAAAACTTTTTACAGTATTGTTCATCGTGCTAAAGTTTCCTACATAATTATTCTAACATACGAACCAAATTATTTTCAGATCCAATTAAATTTTTAGAAACTTCAGCAAAACCGTTATTTCCGTGCATTAAAATCCATCCGCGGAAAAAACATGGAATTAATCAACGAATTGATAATATGTAACAATATGAACGATATGTTTCAGGCGATGGGACTTGCCGGGATGTAGCCTCGACGGGGGAGTCTATGAGCGCGGTACAGGCCCGTCAGGAGGAGGCGAGACGCAAGAGGCGCAGGAAGAGACGCTCCGGCTCCTCTGTGGTGTCCTCCTGCTTCCAAGGTAAATTCGCACATATTGGCGCTAAAATATAAGAGGTGTTAAAGAACGTTGGTGTCGTCACGCGAAGAAATTGCGCGAGTCCGGATTCTGTCGCGAGAAGGGGGGGGGAGGAGGGAGAGAGAGAGAGAATATTAAACAAAAAATTTCTTGGGACCGTAAATATGATTACATAAATATGATTACGTAAATAAATAGAGAATAAATGTCTTTAACTGTCAAGGTTGATCTTAATTGCTTAAATAATTCGGTGTGAATTTATATACTACATATGTAATCATTTAAATTGCTCCCCAAACGAGATAGAATGGAGAGAGGAGGAGTACGAGCGGATAGAACGGCTGTTCTTGATTTTTCGATGCGAGACAACGCGGTGCATTATTCCGTGCACACGCACCCCATAGTTCCCTCTCTTTCTATTTTACACCAGTTACTTGCAGTCCTTCTTCGTAGGTCTGACCTTGAACAAGTTCGGAACGCTCGAGAAACTCACGCGGGATGGTAATCGATCGCGCAGGCGGCCTGGAATTTTGCGCGCCGCTTGTTTATAAACACCGGAAGTTCGCTCTTACTTCTCCCTCGAGGTGCCGAGCATTTCAAAGAATAGACCGAAGTGAAACAATGGCAGGATCCTCTTTCTTTTTCTCGGGAGAATCTTGAGTAGATTTCTTTTCTGTTTACGTGTCTATTATCATGCGCATACCGTTCCACTTGTACTGTTGACGTAATCGGATGAAGAAACGTCGGTATTTACGATCCTTCGAATAACTTACGCATAGAGGCGGTTTTTGCACCCCTAGCTGGTAAACTGGTTGAGAGATGCGAAGAACGCGGGATTGGAATTAATCCGAGCTGGCTGCGCAGCTGGCATTGCTGGCAAATACGGTTATTCGGCCACGGAGCCGCTCGCTCGATCGATACGGCGCGCGGCTCACAGAGAGCCATGAATTCGTTGTACGTGTTTTCGGCGCGGGAGCGTCGCGTCGCGTCGCGTCGCGTCGGTTCGCGTCGGTTCGCTCGACCCTCGAACTCGAGGACGTTTCACATTTTAGCATCGTAATTTGTATTTTATAATTATTCATGAGCTATTGTTTGTGGATTAATTGATCAATATTAATATCGTGACGCAGAATAATTAATCTTCTTAATCGATTTTAATAATTAATGTTTGAAAGAGACATAAGTTGCAAGAACATTCCTTATCGTTTTTAATTTTATTCGATCATTAGCGTGAACAATTTTACGAAAATTTTGGTAAATATTTATACATAAATGATTAGAATTAAAGAAATTAAAGTTAGATGTAGATTTTATTTTTGAAGTAATACGTTGTATGGAAATAATGTTATTAAAATATATACAAGAAAAAATATTGTTAAAATTGTTTAGGAAATTTTGTAAATTTGATTTTGACTTTTTATCAGACGAGTACATTTATTTACGTTTTAGTAATTTGATGAAATGTAATAAATATATATTTATCTTTGATGAAAAGAATTATTGCAATCTATAACATTTCCTAAACTATTTTAACGCTACTTTCGTATGTTATTCTGTTTTTTAAGAAATATTCATATAACTTTAATTCCTTTAATTCTAATAAATTATACATATTTCAAAATTTTTCGTATAATTATCTACGCTAATGACCGTATGTTAACGAAGATGTGTGGTTAAAAATTGGTCATTGTTATGTCATTAAGAAATATTGATTATTTTAAGTAAACAAGAATCAAGTTCACAATCTCGGCCGATTGCGTCATTCCACGTGATCGATTCGCGAGCTCGACTCGGTTCGAGAAGCTTCCACTGCGCTCTGAAACCGTATATATCATCGGCTTATACCACTAAAAGTCGACGAAACACTTGATCGAAAATCCGCCTAATTTGTACACAAAGGGTGCTTTCCATTCGATGGCACAAATCGAAATAAATGTCCTATCTTTGTTTCTCATTGGAACGTCAAGAAAGACAGAAAATGTTTGTGTCACTAATATCCGTTTCTACCCAGTAGTTTAGATCTGTAGTTTAATTTTAATCTCGGTTCAACTAACTCTTCATTTTTTCTAGTTCTAAGAATTAAAAAAAAAATATGAAGAGTAAGTTAAATTGAGATTAAAATTAATCTACGTCGGTAGAAACGGACATAAATGGAAAACGTCCAATATGTCATTAGACATCGCCTAAATTGTCATTGGATATCTGTCTACGGATCGTCAGTTATAAAAATTATTAAGCATTTTCGATTTCCTTGAAGACGCTTTGCGATTGCATCGTTATCGTCCTTAGTTTGGGATATTATTGTTCTCGGGTCGCTAATTGCGAGTGGGTCGATGATCGCGCAATTTTCGAGACGCTATTTTCGAGAGGGCCGCTGTTAAAATTGACGCAGAACGACGTAGAGGGACGTGGAGGCATATTATCGGCTTCTGGTTGCTAGGCGCTGAGCGACGCTGCCATGCGCGCGTATTCTGACGTATAATATCGGAACGATAGAGGTGGGATGGGCGGTGGCGAGGGACGCGGGAGAACAGCGACGTGGGCAAACAGAGACGCGCGGTATAACGCTCGAGACGCGGTAGGGATGGACCAGGGAGAGACGCGCGCGGTACCTCGGCGTTGGAGGAAAGGAGCCGCTGCCGCCTGCCGGCGACGTAGCCTGGCGCGCGGACTTCCGAGAGAGAGGGAAAATTCGGTGTATGTGCGTCGTAGTTCCACGCTACGATCTCGGCCACCCCCTCTCGACCTTGACATTGCCTGGTCGTTAGAGCAGGACGCACACACATACGCTGAACACCGCGCGTACGAGGTCCAAAGCCTGTTTAAACCGGAGATAATTGGGCCTTTTCGACCGTAACAGGCAATCGCGATCAAACATGATGCGCATCGTCAAAAAGGTCAACGTGTGTGTGTTTCTCCTTCAATGACTCGCAGAGAATCCGAGATACAAATATTATCCGTCCCGATACAAGATGTACAGAAAAGTATATACTGAACGCAAGCAATAGTTACTTCACTGAAAAACTCCTTTAGTTGAATCGATTAATCTCTTCTTTGGATGTGAGCAAACAAATCCTTGGTTGATGCGCTAAAATAACTTGGTTCAAACGTCTGATAAACTTATTTTGTCAGAAACAAGTAAAATGTTGCAATAACCAATATTTTTTGCTTCAACTAAATTATTTTATTGCATCAACCAAGGATTTGTTTACCCAAACTAGAAATTAATTGATTCAAATAAATGGGTTTTTCAGTGTTGTTTCAAGTATTTTAAAAATTCATGTATTCGTAAATCTATCGTTAAAAAAAGTTTATCAAAATTCAATTTCAAATTTATTCAATATATATTCTGAAATTCCTAGTAAGAGAGTTTAATACTTCAATCAAGACAATATTAAAAAATAAATCCGACTTACTTTTATTATAAAAGTCGTTTCTTCTCTCGATCAATTTTATAATATTCTTCAAAAGAAAATAAATTCTTGTTTTGAGTACATAATAATGAGTTTAAAATTTGTAAAAGTATATTTTAAGATTCTTCATCAAGAAAGTATTTTTTATTAAAGATAACCGTTACTTAAAAAGAAGAAAATAAATTAAGTAATTATTTTTCTCAGCAATAGATTGATATTTTTTTGCTTGAAGGCTACAATATAGTAGTATATTTGTGTATTTTTTTAATACACATAGAAGATTTTGTATTAAAAATTGTACGGAGCAGTAACGTGGCATCTCTTCAAACTTACAGTGTGATATTATTGTCCTATCATATTTATAATAATTCATCGTTCGGAGGCAAGAATCTATCGAGTCACCTAGTCGAAATGAAATCCTATTGCCTCAATACAAATAAGCTTGTGATGAACTTATGATAGATTTGTGAATATACGAACTTTTAAAATACTTGAAACACACAAGTGACTATTATGGCATACGGTATTTTTCAGTGTGTAGTAATAAAATTTGTCTCGCAGGGATTCCGGTTAGCGTGACCAAAACCGAACTGAAGGAAAAAAAGGGTGTCTCGACCATTTCGTCGCCGATCGCGTCGCGAAGGAAAAGCGTTTCTAACGCGCTGCTTTCGAGCGCTTCGATCGATTCGTTCTCGGTGTTAGGTCCCCTCTTGCCATTGCAATGACAACGCGATACAGTACGACGTAATCGCCAATCGCGCGTGCTCGTAGAGAACGACGCGCAATTCCATGCCGAATGAAGTATCACGCGGTCTGTCGCATTGATTCATCGCGGTGAATCCATACGCTCGCGGACTCGAGAAGTTACGATGTCTTTTGCTTCGATGAATCTGAAAGTTTCGCAAGCTTTGGACGCACAAATATACGTTTGATTCTAGAAATGCCTCAACATTGCCGCAAATATCTGAGCACTCAGTAGAGATGTTTGTACATCTCGAAATTATACGTCTGGCGAGCATTTGCAAATGTTTGAACGCGTAAAAGATTAGATAAGAATAAAAGGTTATTAGCGGATTACATAATAGTTAAATTAACAGATAAAAATATGGTTTTGGATTCTTTAATAATTTAATCTAGAGAGGCAACGGATAATGTGATTTTTGTCAGATAAGCGGATATCGGATAAGATCCGATATCCGCTTATCCGACAAAAAGCACATACAGTCTTAGCTTTAAGTATGAAACACGGTGTTCATACAAACACCCTCAAACACCCCCAAAATTTGACGTAAACATTCTATATCCGAAAAATAAATTAAAAATAGTTTTATCGAAAAATGTTTATTTTTAACTTTTAAATATTTTGTTGGTCCCCCTATGGCTTTTTTTTATTACTAGCAGTTCGTACTCTTTTAAGGACATAAATTGAGGGTGCTTTATACTTATACCTAAGGCTATATTTTTATTTTATTCGGAAGTGCTTAATATGAATAATAAAACATTCATGCGACTTACGACACTTGCTAGATTAGTAGATGTGTGAACTGTGTGAGAGTGCAATGTAAGATGTGCAATGCAAAATCGTCAAGTATTTTTAGTTTTTTCTTCGTTCTTTTGTTGAAGAGTATGATGTGTCGATTAGAAATCGAGCAAACAATTGAGGAAGTGAGACGTTTAGTCTAAAAAATGATTACATAAAGAAGAATGATGTTGCTGTTACAGAACTGTACAAATTGACTGGAGAAGTTCTTGGAGAGGGTGCCTACGCCTCGGTCCAGACTTGTACATCTCTTTACACGGACCTCGAATATGCTGTGAAGATCATTGATAAGATTCCCGGACACGCGCGTGCCAGGGTGTTTAAAGAAGTCGAGACGTTTCACCATTGCCAGGGCCACCCGAACATCATACAGCTAATCGAGTTCTTCGAGGACGAGGAAAAATTCTATCTTGTGTTTGAGAAGATCAACGGTGGCCAGCTATTGAATAGGATTCAGGAACGGATTCACTTCACTGAGAGGGAGGCGAGCCAGATTGTCAAAGAGATTGCGAGTGCGCTCGACTTCCTTCATAAGAAAGGTAATTTTGATGAGACGAAATAATCGCACGAATTTATATAACCGATAAAAAGATAACCAATAATTTTTAGTATAATAATAAATAACCAATAATCTTTAGAATATATATATATATAGAATATAATATATATATAGAGTTCATTATTCTCGAAATAGGATACAATTGACTTCATATTCCTTTTCCTCACAACCTTTAATTCTTCAATTAATCTTTTGTAAACCGAAGTATATATAGAAGGTTCAGAATCCATCGAGTTGACCGCACTCAGATGAACGCGTTACTCGATAAGAATTATTAGGAATTGGTCACAATCTTTATATCTTATATATTTGGTTGTGTGTTCAGGTATTGCTCACAGAGATCTCAAGCCTGAGAACCTTCTGTGCGTATATCCGGACAAGTTGACGCCAATCAAGGTATGTGACTTCGATCTTGGATCGGGTATCAAGTTCAACAACTCGCTGTCTAGTCCTGTGGCAACGCCGCAACTTTTGACACCGGTGGGCAGCGCCGAGTTTATGGCGCCGGAAGTGGTCGAGGCTTTCATCGGCGAGGCCAATTATTACGACAAACGTTGCGATCTCTGGAGCCTCGGTGTTATTATGTACATTCTGCTCTGCGGTTATCCACCCTTCTATGGAAACTGCGGCACCGAGTGCGGTTGGAGCAGGGGAGAAAATTGTCAGGCCTGTCAAGAGTTGCTCTTCACCAGTATTCAGGAGGGCAGATACGAATTTCCCGACAAGGAGTGGAGATGTATCTCCGAGGACGCGAAAGATTTGATTAGAGGCTTGCTCGTTAAGGAGGCCCACCAGAGGCTCAGCGCCGATAGTATTTTGAAACATCCCTGGATTAATCCCGGGCCGACTTCCGTCGAAACTGGTGATCGATCACTTACCACGCCTCATATCATAAGGTGAGTATCTACCTGAGGGTGTGTTAGCTCTTTTATATTTCTTGTTTTTTTTATTATTATTGCGTATAATACGTCTGTTATGTTTACCTCCAGGAGGAACAACTCCGCTAGAGAACTCTCAGCGTTCGCTGAGTCCGCAATGGCTGTGAATCGCGTGGTACTTCAGCATTTCTCTCTAAATCCCGAGGAGCTGGCGGAGAATCGGGAGCCCAGACTGTCCACGTCGTCGACCGACGATGATAATCATCCGTACGGTCACATGTCCGACTCCAGCAGCGAATTATCCGAAAACAGCAAGCACTTGACGACGCATTCATCCAGCGAGTTTGACGGCACGCGACCAAAATCCTGCTCTGTACGCTCCAGCGTTGATCTGAATGACCCCAAGATCATCGGAAAGAATCGCGTCATCGGTAAGGACTCGCTGCAGAATTGGTTTGGGCTGTCACCGCCGACCGAGAGTCGTCTGATGCAACGCCGTTTGAAGGCACGCTCAGACCTGCTCGAACGTCAAACCGGCAAAGCGGTAATTGCGTCTCCGAGTGGCTGAGAGGTCGCTGTAGAACCGATCACTTTTTCTCGCTACAGTATCATTTGTCTCTTTGTAGCTACGTGAAAACGCAAACGATGTACAATACCTTTTCCAATGGCTTAGGAAGCTAACGTAGCATGTAAGTCGAGTCTCTGATTCTGCGCGGATAATGAGAACAGGCTCAATCATTTACGATAGTGACGACAGCGATAATAATCGAAAAGTATTCGCCGCGAAAATAATCGAACAGAATATTGTCGTTATCTTCTTTTTTCGATAGTCCTAAGCTTCTTTTGTTTTAAACCTTTCCTTTTAACAGACAGTTGGATGATAACCAGATTGTTTTTATTTCCAAATGTAAGATTTATTCACTCTTAAAATTAATTATATATTAATTGATAACGCGATAGTTATGACTTTAAAATAATGTAACTATTAAAATAATGTATGAAGAAAAATGTAAAGTATAACATAAGGGATTTATATAGAGATTTTTGTTTAGAATGTAAATCGTAATCGTAATATAATGGTATGTGCGCTGCAAACGCATTGAAGTGTACCCTGCCGCGGTATAAAGACGATATTTATCATAATCGAAGCAAAAGGAAAGATAATATACCACAGTTTGACTTCAATCATCGACGTTGCGCTCCGCGCGCGAGTAATTCCTTTCTCATATTTTATGGAAATAAAAGCAAGTCTGATTTCTCATCGAACGCTGTTAACCACGCTGCGTGTAATTATTCACGCAGTCGTATGTTGCATATTGTACAGAGATAGCTACACAACACGCGCATCGAACATTGTATATCATCATCTGCAGATACGAATATGAATTTACATACATACTGATATACATTTGAATATTTCGTTCATTCGCACGTTTGACATCGTGTTGTGCAAGTGAATCAACATTGTGGATAAGCATCCCGAACATGATTCGGAACAGTACGTTGATGTGTCAGTTGACACGGTCTTATTTTTTTGCGTAGTAGTGTGTATGTTGAGACACATGCGCGCGTTTGTGTATAGACAGAGTATGGAAGGAAAGAAGAAGAAGAAGAAAAGAAGGAAAGTAAAGACCCTCGTGATCGTGATAGTTCGTGCGCTGCTGAACGCACGAATGTCCCTATTACGTAAATATTATTTTTATTTTTTTGTTTGCTGAATTCTTTAAATTCGAAAAAGAAGAAAAGAAAACGATCGATAGACGCAACCGACGTAAGGCGAAAAAGATGTTCCTTTTACTGCTTTTTTGATATTGTTTCACATATGTTCGAGCCATAATATATTCTCGAATTGGAGCAAACAGGGGTGAAGCGTATTTCGGCCCACAGGTGCAGATTAGTTTGCTCATGTTAGATTAATAGAAACGCGATAGATCATAAGTCGGTAGATTTCAAAGCAACATTTGAATGAGGAGTTACGAAATTGGATCAAAAAGAGAAAATGGCTGGTTTGTTTAAAATTTCTTAGTTGTTAAATTACGGGATATCGGTTATTGATTTATGTGTTAAATGCGTTTTGTAGAGTTTTATCGACCAAAAATTGTTTTAATATCAATCCACCCACGATAATGCTTTATATCTTCGTACAAATTATTTTGTCTTTTCTATAAACTTTGTTCTACATTTATGCACGAATCTACGAAGCAGTTTGGTTCGAGTAGAAATAAATTATCGATATACTTCTTTCTTACTTTATCGTGTTTTAGATCAAAAAGAAAATAAAATATGAGAAAAAACTTCTTTCAATCACATCTTGATGCGGTGGACAGATTTTACTCAGGGCAGCTGGGAGATCGCTGCGCACGTTATTCTATGTACTCGTACAATTTGAAAGCGATGAAGATGGAGAGAAAATGCGAAAAAGCTTATCTGTAAGATTTATAAAATGCGGTTCCCTCTGGAATTAACGTTGAGGTTGTATTGGCATTTACTTTAGGATTCCGGTATCGTCCTTGTAGAAACGTGTAACTCCGGAGGGCTGCGAGAGCGTAACATGCGTTTGTACATTGTAATTGCATCATTGGAAACTTTCTTAGAAAGTCATTCGCTTGCTATAGGACATGGCGGATATGGCTTTTGTCAACCTCTGTCTTCTTTGTACTTTGTAAGTACCGGTAAAATAAAGATTTAGAGTTTATAGCGCGCGTGGATGAGATTATATATATGAGAATCCGTGTAAATAAAAAAAAAGTTATGTGTAGAAATACGGAAAGCAATATATATAATGCGAGCTCTCTTAAGAGGAAATATTGGAAGATTAATATATTTATCGGCCTCTTTGCGCAAGGTTTAACAACTTTTTGCGTCATTCCTCAATCAGCTGTATAACAAAATTATCTTTCTACCATAAAAAAAAGCTCATTTTTCTCGCTTGTCTTTTTTAATTTGTCTTGCGCGAAGTTTCATACAATATAATCCACTTTACACATTAAGCAATTAAGCATGTACCGGTTGAAAAGGCTACAAAATTGTTTATTATCTCTTCTATTGGGTCCTGAAACGAAAGGATTTTTCTTGTGTCGATCGTGCGTTTTGGTAAAGTATCAATATGGGCTCGAATGTGAATGCTCTTTCTTTTTCTTAAAAAAAAAAAAAGAAAAAAAAAGAAAAAGAACATATATTATAAGAGGATATATGAAAGTGAGGTGCGTGAAGGAAGTGTGTTTGTATGGAAAAAAAATATAAAAGGAAAAGAAAAAAATATACAAATGGCCATAATACACAGATCTGTAAGCGTAACGAATTTAAGATTGTATAATAGAGTGTGAGTATAAATGCATGTGTACACGTGTGTATGGTGTGAGAATGTGCGTGTTTTTTTGCAAGCGTGAAAAGGAGAGCATGTGGAAAGAAACTAATTGCTAGCCTTTAAGAGAAAACCCAACACCTTATCGTAAGACGTAGCGTAAGGTACCGCTGAGTCATACCGACCGATTGTCAGATTGTTTATTTTTATCCTTTTACACGCTCATCTCCACATTGTACCGTTTCGGAAATGGCTCGATCTGATGCTTTCGTTCGCCCATTTTACGAGAGTTAGAGCGGCCAACGGTAATTGTTTTCGATCGCCGAAGATTGGAATTGTGATAATGCTTCTTGTGCAGTGGCTGGACCATAACATTGGATCTCGGTATAGCGCAGCGGTCGACTGTACATGCGAAACGCGGACATCATCATTCTCATTTTCTTCCCTATAGTAACACAGTAAGCGTTGTAAATCCTTTTGCCGAGTGGCAGTTAACGAGAGAGAATGTAATCGTTAAGAGGGTCTGTGGGAGACGTAGGTGTGTTTTTTGCGTCGTGCCAACGCTGTGACGCGGTAAAATCTACGAGGAACGAATCACGATGCGAGGAGAGCGGAGAAATTTTCGTTACACTTTTTCAAGAAAAAAAAAAGCGCGAAAAAAACGAATAAAAAATAATCGTCATGTGTCATATATATATTTTAAGTGGTACGCATCCCGTTCCTCTCATCTTCTACCCCGCGCACTCTTCGTCGGGTTTTGCCCCGTCGTGAAATCCGCTTATCAAGATGATATCCGCGCGGTTGACACATATCTTCACAAAGGATGCGCATCTTTTTTTTTTTTTTTTTTTTTTTAAAGAAAGTTTTGTATCATCAAACGGGCGATGAGCGCATCCTCCTTTTTTACAGGAGAGAAATAAGAGAGATATTGCGCTCGAGAATATGTCACTGGCGGTCTTTGATTTCGATGAAAACGTTCTGTTGGGGGAGAAAAAAAAAGGGTGTGCGGCTTGACAAGAGCTAATTTTCCATCACTTTTCTTATTCTTGTAATCGTAGTAGATATATCGATCGAAGTGAGACAGTTAAGAGAAAACTGGAGAATGTAAATAAGATTTATCTCGTAGCTATAGTGCCTATATCCTAAAAGAACTAGATCGATAGGTAGTGCTCCCCGGTTTTCACTCTACCAATCTTCCCTCCCTTCCCCTACAAAACGCAACGTACCTCCCTCATATTTTCACGGCCTTCTTACCTGATACCATTCCTTTCTCATCCGTCCCTTTCCTCTCCCCCTCGAAATTGAAACATTCCTCTCCGAATCAACCTCCCACCGGATCCTGCAAATCCTTTCTCCCTCTCCCTCTTCCTTCTCCTTTTTCCTGCGTCATCTATCCTTACTTCCATGCGTCCAAAAAAAATTGTTATAAAACGAGAAAAATGGCCAAAAAATATTTTTTATTTTTCATACCCACTTATATGTAGAACATATACGATATATTTTTTTGACACGGTTGAGGAGACGGAGCTTGATTGCGAAGAAAGAAGGGAGCGGTCGTATCGTATTCCCGGGACCATTTCTCTCCAGATTCTGATTTAAAATATCCGGGAGAAACGTCGGGGGATACGATGGCCTTTCTTTTATTCCTTGCGTTTGGTGCGATATCTTACTGCTTAGTATTAGTGATTTTGTAAACCGAAGTCGCTCTTCAGTTTTGTGAAAGAGTAAGAGAGAAAGAATGTGAGAGAGAGAGAGAGAGAAAACGTTCGAGAACAAGGGCTAAAGTCCATTTAACAACGTGCTCACGTACAGTTTTGAAAACTTTATTATACAAAAATAATTATGCTTTTTTCTTTAAAGGAAAAATATTCAATATTAAACCCCGCGAGATATCTTTCCGATTTATTGCAAGATTTAATCATACGAATCGTTTAATTTTGGTTTGGAACATATTGCCGACAGCTTCTCGACGTTTAAGTATGCAAATGGGCGATGTTATCAGATTCTATAAAAACAAAAAAAAATATTCTATAAAAACAAAGATACGTCGTGAGCACGTGAGGCGCTAATTTCTCGTACGTACTTTTATCCGTATTTTAAGTGGCGCGCGTTAGTAGCCTAGCGCGAGAAACATGTAAATGTTGAGACTGGATTATGAACGTACAAAAATACCTTATACCTGTAAACAAGACATGTTAATCACTTTGCGATTCGATCAACGCGTACGATCGTCCGAGGGAGCGAAAGAAACGCTCGTGATGCGATTTTAATTCGATCCACGTGCGACAATTCTAATAACGACTCGAACATTCATTCGGTCCACGAATCTGATTGCAGACCTGCAATGGCGTGATTTGATGAAAATCTGATTTGTCATTAATTCCTCACACGATTGATCATTAAAATGTATATTTTTTAAGTGAAATATTAAGACATTTTATTACATTCTTTCCTTTATACACACATACACACACGCACACACAACCCTTACATAAATTTAATACTGTAAGTATTGAATAAGTTACAATGTGAAAAAACATTGATTAAATTTTAAGCCGGTGGCACACGATGCTTGTTTTCTTACTGGATTGCTAGATGGATTACAATCTTGCCACCGTATTGGCTGCGGTGTTGACAATGC